ATTACAGTATTATTAATTAATTGACATAATTAAAATTTTATTATCTATTTAAGATAAAATAAATAAGAGTCAATTTTTATTAATTATTATTATTATTATACATATAAATTTTCAATTTTTATGTACGTACCTATTATAAGTGATTAATTAAAATAATAATAATAATAAATTCCTATTGCTAATTGATATTATTAATTTTAATTTTATTTATTTAATTAATAATAAAATAATTTTAAAATGTTTATTTATTAATAAACGCGTAAGTTAATAACGTATTAATTTATTAACTTTTGAAACTAATAAATTTTTTTATTAACTAATAATAATAATAGTTTACGCGAATCGTTAATGAACCGGCAAATCGGCGACATTCGAAAAAAAAAAAACGATTTTTTTGTTCGTGGCATTAGAATAATCATATCGAGAGTGTATCCCGAATGGTAGACATTATTTTTTTTTTTCCATAAACAAAAATTAATTTTTATAGTTTGTCATAATAATAACGTTAATTAATAAACGTTCGCGATTATTTTTTTAGTTTCATATTTATGTAATTTTATTGAATTGAAATAATAATACGTTATTGATTGATAAGATTTAATTAAAATATTTTATAATTACGAATAATTTTCATTTGTGTGTGTTTATTTATTTAAAGGGTGGTCCTGTTTCTCGACCATTTTTTTAAAGTTTTTTCTTTGCTTTTTTTTTTTTTTTGGTAATTTATATTAATACTCGATCAGTTTACTCTTTTTAAAATGGTAAGTTTTTAATAAAGTTTCGATTTTATGCGTTTATGTATCTATAAGAAACAAATCTAAATAAAAAAAGGGTATTGCTTATTATAATGCAACATTTATTTCAGAAAAGAATTTGAAGAAAAGCAAATAATATAAAAGATGTCGATTTAAAATTAGTTTTTATACACACGATATACTAGCATTCACTGATTTTTACTAATTGTAATAAATATTAATATTGTGAATTGAATAATGGCGGAGAATTGTGTTACATCTGAAGAAAATCAAAAAAAATTAACAGAATTATTCGATTCAGGTTTAGAAATTTATGAAAGAGTGATTAATAGTGATGAACCTGCATCTAATTCAAAATTACAGGTAGTTTAAAATAAAAATTTTTCCCTCTCTCTCTCGTCATGAAAAATTATTATTAATTTTTTTTTTTTTTTTCGGTTTTAGTTGGATGTGCAAAATTGCATAAACATCCTTGAAAAAGCTACACATTTAATTAATGCAGCAGGAGTTTTTAGTTCGAATGAAACAATCGATGAAGTACCTTCTGAAAATATCAAATATTTATTGATACCTGGAATGTTAGGAAGTTTGGTTTTGAAAGCATTATCTCCCGATCGTATAAATACATTAGAAACTTCAGAAATTTATTTTAGAGATTTTCTTAAAAGAGTTCAAGATTATGAAATCATTGAACCTTTAAAAT